ATTCGAAATTACGGACTACCCACACTTTGTCCTATAATGATGGCCAATTCCCATAGCATGTACTTGTTTTTTTTTCATTGTTCTCTCGGATTCTACTTTTTTTTCGCTTTCTCTTCTGAGTTTCCTCTTCAGAGTCGCTGATATTGATCTCCCTCGCTTCAATGGATATTTATTTGAATATTGAAGGTCGTCAAAAAGAGATGAAATCGATTGCTTATTCAGTAAAAGAAAAAAAAACAAGAAAGCGAGTTTTTCATAAAGCGCCTCGCAAAAGTCCACATGTACGCATGTTCTTAATAGTTTTTGTTCACATGTCCTTGGATTATATTATCGTCGGCTGAGTTGAGTCCACACCAACCAAACAACTCACTTTTTGCACTTTGCCGTGTCGGCTGTTTTCTTCTTCTGTTGTCTCGTTTATTGATTTTCTTTTCTCTTTCAAAGGAGAATGCATTAATCACACCTTAACGTATTCAGCAAAGGCTGGCATCATGTCGGCTTGTCATCTTTGTCATGTTGATTGACATCTTTACTTTGAAGAAGCAGAGTTCAAACGCTGCAATCTCTTTCTCTAACAAATCGTCTAATTACACCTGCGTTAAGCCTGAGGATGACTTCATCATTTTTCCATTACCCTTGTTGCTTTGCTAGACTATTTTTATTCGGTTTTGCCGAGTATTTTTAGTCAACAGAATTATATTGCCGTATCTTCTACATAAATTGTACGAAACTTTAGAATCTTGAATTTCACGACATGCTTCCTATTTTAACTCACATTTAGACACCATTGAATGAAATTGCTATTTGATACCATTGAGCTGTGCAAATGAAATGTTTAATTTGTAAGCTTTATAATTTTTAAAATTTTTTCGTCTGAAAGCTTACGGTGAGTAAAAAAATTTCGGGTCTCCAAAATTTTGTGACTTATCTCAAATATTCTTAGAAGCCGTACATTTAAAAAAAAATTCTTGTCCTCCTAAAAAATTTCTTCTGTGACCCCCATCGCATTTGAGAATCTGCAATTTTTGGAAAATTCTACATCTAACAAATTGCATTTTATCTGATTGCACTTTTCTGAAAAGAAAATCATGGTTTTGAATCCACAGCAGAAAACGCAGGCATTACTCATTTTTGTCAATTATCTCTAAAATCTCAGGTGTTCATAGATCCGCTCAGTCATCATGAGTTTTGCTCACTTTGACACTAACTTACTGCAGCACTTCAATACTAGATGGTTCGAAAGATTGAAGTTGAAGTAATTTTCTATTTCTTCAATTTTTAGTAACTTTGATAAATGGCAGTTATGTCTTTACAAAGTCTAAAATTTTCATTCTAAGGAGTTACCCTAAAATCCCGTAGATAAGAGCGCTTTAATTTACCGGTGAAAAATGAATTGGAATGAATTGAAATTGAATGCAGTCACCCCTCTAACTTGATGGATGGATAAATAAAAATCGGAGAAGAAGTTTAGAAGAAGCTCCGCCCCTCAACTCTAAACCCCGCCCACTTAATAAATAATTCATATAGAAATTCCGAAATTCCGTCAAAATCGCTATTTTTCTATATGAATTGTTTATTAAGTGGACGGGATTTAGAGTTGAGGGGCGGAGCTTCTTCTAAACTTCTTCTCCGATTTTTATTTATCCATCCATCAAGTTAGAGGGGTGACTGCATTCAAAAACAATTCATTCCAATTTATTTTTCACCGGTAAATTAAACCGCTCTTATATATGGGATTTTAGGGTAATTACAGACAAGTGAAGATGCCACGAGAATGAATTTTTGAATGATAGCGGTGATGCGCTTCTATGATAACCTGATATTGATAAAATCGCTGTTTGTAAAGTTGTATAGGGTTCCACTTTTGACTGCTATCACCCTAGATTTAGTGACCACAGCAGTTTTGAAGGAGCAGCTTAAAAACCGCAAAAAATTGGAATAAATGTAGATTGCTTGTTTAAACGATAATTTTGATTCAGAACCTGTACACACACATATGCCCGTCTCTGAGTACAACGAGTTTGTAGAAACAAATGGTCCCCAACGGTTGCAAGAACTTTAACTATCTTGTTGAAAATTTTGAATTTTTGGGATATTTTCAATGTAATGTAACGAGTAAAAAAAATGGTAAAGCTCATAGAAAGATTTTGGAAGACATTTTTGGGCTCAATTCCATATCAAATTTCGTTTCAGATATTTTATTAACAATAAGCTCACAGTTTTGCTGTACATCGCCAACTGAGTAATCATTGATACTTTTTGCCAATTAAGACTTGCCCTTTGTTTCGAATACTAGCACACCAACAATGTTTGTACAGATGTTAGCTTGTGCTTTCCAAACAATATTACAACTGGTTTGCTATTAGATGATATAATATACCCATGTATCCTGTCTCGCCAAATCAACTAGTTAGAATTTTGTTTACACATCAGTAAACAACGCTTGTTTCCTCATTTCGTACAGTTTTGCTGCTGTTACTCTACAACTGCAATAAGAGAGTTTTTCCTTCTCTAATCAGGGTGTCATCTCGTTGTCGAAGATGTAGGTGCGAGCTTTATTTGTAAAGTAATGGCAACCATAGACTTTTATCTGGCAAAAAAGAAATAGAGTATAGAGCTTGATGAAACACAGACTTGGGACCAATAAAACCTTCCAAAAGAATTTTGCAAGACTAATCTATCTATAACTGAAGCGGTCGCGAAGATGATTTTTTTGAGCAGAAATCATTTCAAATTTTCAGTAATATCTTCCTGCCTAGCAGCTGGAGTCGCAATACTACGCACACGTGGCTGAACAAGCTATTCGTGCTTTACGTCGTTCCAGCTCTTTTCAAAATCAACTGATCAATCGATTGAATTACGCGCATTGATAGCTTATTAAAGGCAGCATCCACCCAAATTTTCGCCTTGCATGTTTTTGTCATTCGGACCCTTCCTTGGCCACAGATAGAAATACAAAATGTTAAAACCCCCAACTGGAGACACAGACGATTTCTAGCACCTAAGTGGGCGGAGTTAGATAGAGCGGGTGTGGCTTGATAGCACTTTCGGGGTTCCAGGTCTATTTTTCCATTCGAGACATTAGAGGACTTTATCAACACAAATGTCTTAGTCCTCAAACCTCTTGTACCAGATACTATTGAAGGGAGCATAGAATTTACCTGAGCGCTGCCTTAAATTTCCATCTCTTCTCTTCTCTCCAAATGTTCTCAGTGGTAGTAACATCGGTTCGAAAGGTGTCTCTTTAGCACAATCATACTATAGACTACGATCGAATACCTTTTTGCGGGGATCTCTCTGAGCTCGCTCATTCTCTGCTCATCCTGGTTATCATTGCATAGAACCACTATTTAAGATGTAATAGTGACAGAGGCGTAGAGTGCGAATAACCAACTCGTCCGATTCCACTCGTTCGTGGGTCCTACGGCGAATCCCTTTACCGTGATGCAGAGGAGTTTGTGCAAAAGAGTTTAGTCCCGATCAAGTCTAAAGGAGACAAAAACGCTATTCACGATGCTTGACAAATCAATACTCGTACATTTTTTTCATTTTTGATATGTTTTTACATGTAATTAGCGAAAGAACAAGTTCGAACTTGTTGAGCGAAATGTTGCATATGACGTCTCCGAATGCGGGAGTATGGATTAAAGAGCGAAGATTTCAAATTCTCCGCTTAAAGGCAGCGTACACCCAAAATCTAAGTTACCCAGTTCTCTATATCGTGTATATATAGGGCACAGAAGAAGACCAATTGCGTTGGTCCGGTCTCCCAATGTTGCTTCTGAACGGAGGAGAACCCGTCTGATTTTTTCTTCACTCCGCCCCTTCCTTATCAGCCCGCCTCCTTCGGACGAAATCCACGTCAGCGTAAGTTGCAGTTGCAGTTGCAGTTGCAACTGCTGTCGCAGTGCAGTTGCTTTTTGCGGTCCGCCTCCTTCGAACGACAAATTTACGACAGCATATGCTGCAGTTGCAGTTGCAACTACAAACTGTCATACAATTGCAGCTGCTCCTCGCTGGCATGTCGACGGAGACGAGCAGTTCGAAACTTGTCCGCCCTCTGAAGAGAGGGTCCCCGGAAATCAGGGTTTTTTGGGACTTCTGGAAGATTAATGTCATAATGTAATCAGGGGCCGGAAAGACCTCAATGACAAAAATATCGAAAGCGAAATTTTGGGTGTACGCTGCCTTTAAACAGAGGGTCCGCTTGGCCAGTACTGGTTCTGACAAGAAAAGATGAAATGGTTAGGAGTGGGAGGGGCTTCAAGTTGCGCTTTGGAGATACTGTCGCCTTCCAGGAGACCAACTCCTCCCCTCACGTATAACAGAGTAACCCTCTTCCCCTCATCTTCATGGGAAGATGTTTCCAAGCAACTTCTGAAACACGAATCCGACAGTACCAGTTTGCATGCAAATTCCGGACAAATCCAGCCACGTGGCGTTGAAAAGCGTTTGCTTTTGAAGTGATCGACTCATCATTGTTAGCTGTTCGACAGCTTTTCGCACTTCTCATCGATGTTGTCGACTGTTTCGCACTCTCGATTTCAATCAAAAGCTGTATAACGTTGCCATGAACGCGATATTGTTATGATTGTGCGCATGGATGGACAACACACTCGCATACACACCGACATTCAGCAGTTTCACGCTAATGCTGCTTTTACACTTCAGTGACGCGGAAGATGAGCTGGCTTTGATTTTCTAGGTTTATACTATGTTCTTGGTAAAGAAAAACCTTAGCATCAAATTTGCATGTCATTCCCTTCATCTATAATCATTTTTTCATCTGTTATAGTCCTCTCATATATCAGAAAAATCGTGGATATTGGGCAGTTTCCAGACTCTCGACCTCCTTTCCTTTGTTTTTATTTTTGTCATCAATCAAACCCTTCATATGGAAACATTCTTTTTCATTTATAACAATAATTTCAGTCGCTCACACTTTCCATCCTTAATTTTCCCGTCTCACTCTAGTTCAGATTTTTTGAGCAAAAAATCCCGTTTCAGCCACCATGGCCAATATATACCCAATTTTCCTGTTGCTGATGCTCCGATTACTTCTTGTTGAAGCAAAAGGACCAGATTTGTCCGGTCGAGTTGTTCATGCAATTAACTGCGGTAAGGCATTGTCATTGTGGTTTTTGCCATCATTATTATGCCATTCAAAGCCTCTCTTAGAAATAAGACAGGGCAGACTAGAGAGAAGGGGGAGGGACGAAAAGGCAGTGGCGTATCGAGGGGGCGGAGGGGTTAGTGCTCAGACAATTGCATCGGAAAGTGCGCGGCCTTAAAGGCAGTGTCCGGGCAAAAAGTCGATTTTGAGATTTTGTGCTTACTCGGGCCTATTCACTATGCTGAATCCGAAAATCCACATTGGAAAGCGCGAAAACGGCGAAAAACGGCTCTAACATGGGAGGGAAATCATAAGTGGGCGGGGTCTTCCCCACTGTGAATTTCGCGGTCCCAGCTTCTGGAGCGATCTTCTCAATTCCGCCAACACTCTAAAATCTCCACAGGCCAGGTGCGAATGCATGACTTGAAATTGGAATCGAGAAGATCGCTCCGGAGGCTTGGAGCGTGAATCCACAGTGGGGAAGACCCCGCCCACTTGCTGATTTCCCTCCAGTGTTAGAGTCCTTTTTCATCGTTTTCGCGCTCTCCAATGTGGATTTTCGGATTCAGCATAGCGAATAGGCCCGGGTAAGCACAAAATCTCAAAATTGAGTTTTTGCCCGGACACTGCCTTTAAAGCGTGTTACATGAAGCGCCGCGGCCCCTTAAGTTTGAGCTCCGCACGCCGCGGCCCATGTATATTTTACCGGGAACGCCGCGGCCAAAGTTGAAACTGGGAAATAATTATCGGGAGGGTCGCGGCCCAACCACCTCACTCGGCGGGCCGCGGGCCTTATCAAAGGCCGCACTTCTTGCACACTGTAGGATAAGGTGCAACCCGCGTGAGGTACGCCGCAGCGATGGGGCTACCCTAAGATGAAGAGGATATCACTGCTCGGATTGGGTCCTGTTCCGACAGAATCAAGTTCTCATGATCATGAAATAAACTCTAGCAGTCAGCTGAGTGTTATCAACAGATGATGTCGACAGATGAGCTAACAAGTTGCTCAGTTTGCACTCAAGGTCTGTCATGTGAAGGACAGACTAAATAGTTCTTCACTCTTCCTAGGTCCTACAAGCATGCTAATCGGATCAACCATAGACGCCTAACGGGCTCTTACAGAATGCGCCGCGGTCACTTATCGGGTCTAATATATGGGTTTACCGGGCAGCTCGCGGCATGGATGATTGGTGGTCGAACAAGCACCCGCGAACTTCCCGATACAATTGTCTGAGTGAATTGATCATACTTGTAAATATCTAACCAAGCCTTATAAAATTTTTTTGGGGCGTGGCTACTAGTGAGTTTCGCGTACCAAAAATTTTTCAGAGTGCGTGGCTAACGCCACGCCTTCATCAGAAAAACATTTTTGAGGAGCTTCCCCTTCCCCCCCCCCCCCCTCAGGCCCCGGACAGACTTCACGCGATTTGATCGTCGCGACTCAGTCGCCTACATTTCCATTCATTTTCATTTCACATTCAAAAATTTCGGGCTGGAAAAGTATCACAACCGAAATGCAAGTTGATCGGCATGGAATGATGTTGTAACAGTTGTCTCGTCGCTATTTAGTCGCAACGATCAAATCGCGTGAAGTCTGTCCGGGGCCTCAACGGTTTGCCTGGGTACACCACTGGAAAATGGGTAGTGGAATTTTCGACGGTTGTTTTTATTTCTCAGAATGACCTCCGATGCCAATTGTGAATAATGAGTGATATTCTTGATTTTATAGAAAAACCAAGTTAAGCCAAATTAGTTTTCGAGACCAAGGTCATTGGATATTTTCCGAGGGGATATCGCTAAAGCTAAGCTTATGCATTTTTCCGAGATCGAGGATCTAAAGCTCGCCGCTCGAAAAGTGTTTACGGCGCAGCTAACGCCATGCCTCTACTTCTGCGAAGCTTTTAGCCTTTCAACCACCTCCTTCCCACTAAAAAAATCTGGGTGCCACTGCGTTGTGCCTACAGGAATTCTACGCGTAATAAATAATGATAATATAGTTAACATCAATGATTTTCTTTCCATCATTAACACAGTCGAAACCGTACAGGTGAAAGCTTTATAAATTCAATAGTTAGCAAATAGGGTTGTAATTTGACCGTGAAATTGTTCGTGCTGAGTACAGGAGAAGAACTTCAGGCTATTATAGAAATTTGTAGAATTCAATAGGAACGTTAAGGGCAGCATTCACCCGAAATTTCGCTCTCCATGATTTTGTCATTCTCGGACCTTTACGTGGTTCTGTTCTGATTACGACTATAAAGGTCAAAATGTGCAAAACCCCCAAAAACCAGATTTCGGGAGCCTATGCTGAAGACCCAGATGGGTTGGACCAACTGGATATTGTCGTAGATTATTTGCGAATCTACGACCTTTATCATTGTGAACTCATGTTGTAGACTATATTCAGTATCCACTAGCTTCTCGTTGGCAAACATTACTCTTCTGTCCACTTGAGCCGCTGGATCAGCCCTTTAATGTGCTTGATAGTTTACTTGGCAGCGTCTACTTTCGTGTTGGCAATGCTTAAGTCTGTATGATACTGTTGCTTGCAATGAGCATTCAGGTTATCCACGCCTAAAACATGGCATAAAAGGGCCTGAATACTTTTAGTTCTGGTGTTAGTTCGATACACCATCACTATCGCCAATTTTACGCATATTCACTGTTGATAGTTAGAGGCTGCTCCGCTACTATCTAGAAAATAAACAGTTTTACAACGTAGTGGTACTATTTGGTGTATACCAAAGATGGGTGGAGCTTGATAGGATTTAGGCGTGGCGTGATAGCACTTCTGCGTTCCAAGTCCATTATCTCTGTTCAAAGACAGTATTAGAGGGTCGGACCAACGCATATGCTCCTATCCTGGGGCCTGCTTTTAGACTGTGTATCACTCATTCTATGACTAGAAGATGCGAGACCGCATTGCACATATTGTCTAAACAAGCCTAATCGTGTACTTAGCAGGTTACTTGATATTTATCTCGTTCAAGTTTATTCAGTTTTCGAAAACAGAGAATAGCAAACTCAGACTTGTTAAGGCAATGTCCGCAATACGGTCTCGCGTCTCCTAGTCATAGAATAGACGAAACTAATCGATGGGGATTGGATTTTGCTTAAACGCTGCCTTTGAGCCATTCATAGCCGCGGTATAGCGAGTTTCGACATATCGTGAACAAGTGGTCATGTTGATCTTATCGAAAGAAGGATGGATAAGTTAAAAAACATTGTCTGTTATCTAATGAACTGGATTACCTGCACACCATTTATGGCTATGTTGATTTCTTCAGAGTTTAGAATTGTCGAATGCATAGTCGATCCATTTCATCAGAAACCACATAGGACTCAGAAAACACGTCCAATTCGTCACTAAACCAAAAATTACAAAAGTGAATGCAGGATTAAACTGCGACTCCAAATCCTAGCGCTCATCTAAACAACTGATGGCTGCTTGGTCAGTAGAACGTTTATTAGTAACTAAGCTCCATCCTCTTTCACAGTACCCAGTCACCTGACACGAAACTCAGAAGCCACAAAGCCTCTGATAAGCAACCATTAGTAATGTCTAAGTTCCTTCCTATTCGAATTTGTAATTTTGGCTGCAATCCAAATCGCCTCCAATAGTTTGCGCGCTAGGATTTGGAGTCGCGTACTAAGAGAGTGATTTCTACACCTATATCCGCGTCACTATGGAACTGCTGCCTGCGTTGCATGTCCAGTGGGGTTGCCGGGTTCGATTTTTTGAGCCCATCTGAATGTTGATCCATGTACATAGAGGGCGTCGCGTATCGCCGATGTACATGCCTTCGCATGTCTGGGGAAAGATAAGTTACACTACCCCGACACCATGGAGTCTTCCTCCTTACGGAAGGGGCATATCACATACCCTGGGGCCACACAGCCTATCATGAGCAGATTACATACGTGTGGATGCTAGGTTAAAAGAAGGTGTCTATGACCTTGGCCCAATCTTGCAGATCAATCTGATATATCAGCCTCCTTATTCCCTTGCTCAGTTCCTCGAAATATACGCTAACAAAACAAAATTTCACACTGGCCTCTAAAATCTCGATGTTGGCCAAATGATGCTCGACAGGGGAATGTTTTCTGGGCTTGTAACAATTCAATCTAGTTGGTTGGTCGGCCGAGTTTAGGGAGTAAACCTTTTGTAGCCTGTAAACTCACAGCTCTCCTGTACATGTATCTATGTGGACTTCTTGACTTGCGCATGGTGAACCGAAGTGTATTAACTAAGGCGTTCTTGCTACTAGATTCACGGTGCCATCGCGTTTTGAAGTTTTCGCTCGACGGCTGCACCCGAACGTTTGAAAAAGGTACCAATCATTCGTAGGCTTCTCCCGAGTCGTCTTGATATGAGGAGACTGCTGATCGCCAATCCCAAACAGGTATCAAGCTTGGCATTGTAAGGCATATAACAGAGCAATTGTCCACATGGCGGCATTAAGTAGTCGACGCGCGAAGAGTGGTGCTTACACGAACTCAGAGAGAGTGGCCAAAGTTGGCGCTGAACGTTATACTATGACAGGACCTCTAATCTGCTTCTTATATTGCCCGCTTCACAGCAAGACCCAACGTTGTAGACATTTTTCAACAGCACAGTTTTCCTTCTCGTGCTCAGTCCATACAGGCAGCAAAGCTTGATGTTCTGAGAGGAGCCGAATGCGGCTTGCAAGGTGTCGCCGTTTGAAAAATGATGTAAAGCAAAGCTACGAAAGCCTCTACAACACATCCATAATTCACATGCGTGCTACGCAGGCGATTTAGAAACACTAGGAATGTGATTTGTTGACCCACCGACTTTGCTAAGTATTGGTCTGATTTCGAAATCCTGACGATCCTTTGATGCGAGTTCGGAAACTATTGATTTTTGGGTTTTTATTAGATGTGCAATACGAGACAAACGGGCAGTCTTGATAATTTTTGCGAAGCTTCTATAGAACCTATAGATCGTGGAACTTCTTCCTACGCCATGTTCAAATGGCGATTATTCCTCTCAACTCCTTCTCCGTCGACACCTTGTATACCGTATTGCGCGCCAGGTGATATGGGTTTCATTAAGCTTGCCAAATGAGAACCAGTCAAGGGTTGAAGAAGACTCGTCCAAAGAATCGGACGAAGACCGGATTGGGCGGTCCGCGCGCTGCTCTGATGACTTCACGAATTACTCTTCTGTCTAGAGACCGGGTTTGCGCACCAGTTTAGGCTGGAGGTTTTGATGCTCGGCTATGATAGAGGATTTCAAATTTACAAGAAGTTTCAAATCTGCTCAAACGCTGCCTTCAAGCAACCAAAGCAAATAGATTCTGGTAATGTTAAAGTCAACAGTAGCTCATCAACATAATCAAGAAAAATATTTACGACACTACTGATTAGAGTTTTCTTTTCTTTTGAGACCTATCCATGTTGATTCTGAACAATCATTCTTTCTGTGACCCCATTTGTGAAACGCATCAAGTAAAGACGAGCGAACGAATTGAGAAGTAATATAGCGTTGCTTGTTCTTAATTTATTTTTTATTGGTATGCCCAGAAACACGGCATGGTAGGAAAAAAGACCGATCTTGAAATGCAGGAACCCCGCGTGAATCGGAAGTAGAATAGAGCAATAGAATAAACGAAAAGCATCAACTTGAAACCTGTACAAGGTAATGTATGCAACACAGGGCAGCGGAGTAAATCACAACACAGCTAGGAAGTAGGATGATTTTTATGGATACAAAATTACCCAACATTTACACTACCTCTTGATGAAAAAATTATAATTACGCATTGTCCCGTTAGCGGTTTAGAAACCATCAAACGGCAAATGTTTTCTCTCTAAAGGTCAAACTAAGAAGAAGTGCCTTTACTGCGTTCTTCACGTCTAGGAGAGAATATAGAGGACGTAGATTTTTTGGTTAAGTTTCTTGAACTTTCTCAATAATAGCAATGTCTTGAACCTTGTATGTTGTATCAAGTCTGTAAAATTAGTTAATGCTTCAATTGAAAAATTTTTCTGGGAGCAACTTGGTTTTGATTTCACCCGTAAACTCTCCTTTTGTAGTTCAGGCGGACGACGTCACCAAGGGGCATATGGCATAGTTTACCAAGAGGAACGAAATACAGAAGGCATTGCATCCGACTACGGGACAAGGTGGGCCTTTCCAAATGCGCCTGAAGAAGATAGACCACTCTATGAGGTAAATCTTTTTGTAAACCTGGAAATCAAGAATTTGGAGTTTTTAGACAGAGCGATATCATGGTGGTGATATGACTTATGTTTTTGATATTCCCAAGGAGGGTAGCTATGTGATCATACTGAAGTTCTCCGAGGTTTACTTCCAAGGGCCTGGACAAAAGGTAACATGCTTTTGCTGTAGAGAAAGTGCGCATATATAATTTTTTTTAGGTCTTTCATGTGAACGTCAACGACATTCCTGTAAAGAGAAGCCTGGACATTTTTCAAGAAGCGGGAGCTACTGGTGCGGCACATGACATGTAAGTGCTTATTGTGCAAAATAGTGGTTGAAGCTAGTTTGGAACGCGTAAGGGTAGCGCAAAACCTTACAAAGCTATCGGTTTCAACTGGCTCTCACATTTTGGTGCTAAGGGATTGCAGGCATAGGCAAGAAATGTTAAAGGCAGTGTCCGGGCAAAAACTCGATTTCTAACATATTCGCTTGCTTGGGGCTATCCGTTACGCTGAATCCGAAAATCCATTTGGCGCAGAAAAGGCAAGAAAAGAGTGTCCTAAAGCCCCACAATTTGGATCAAGGCGAGTGGCAGTTTTTGCTAAGGCTAAGATGCAGAGTCGCTGTAGGGCCTCTCTTAACTGTGGTGGCATGCGCATTTTGAGGACAGGAACCGCACGCTGGTTCTATTTTCATATTAGGGCTCATGTTTCCAATTTTCTGAGCACCTTTCTTGCATGCTTCGCACATGCGCGATGGCGTGGTTGAAGGCGTCTACTGTCAAATGCCAGAAAACCAAAACCTCGACCATAGAACCCTCACCATGTTCCCCACCCCTAACTTGCCCGGACTAAAGGACTCATGCTTTCGTGAATGAATGGTAAGGCCCCGGGCAGACTTCACGCGATTTGATCGTCGCGACTGAATCGCGACGAGACAACTGTTACAACATCATTCCATGCCGATCAACTTGCATTCGGTTGTGGTACTTTTCCAGCCCGAAATTTTTGAATGTGAAATGAAAATGAATGGAAATCTTGGCGATTAGATCGCGACGATTAAGTCGCGTGAAGTCTGACCGGGGCCTAAGACAACGTTACATCAGGTGCTAAAGTAAAAAATGTCTTATACATTATAATCACATTAGGGGTGGCAACTATATAGCTGATTTTTTTGCTACTTAAAGCTTAGATAAGGAGCAGAGAAACGCTCCTGGATGCGCAATTGTAAGCCAAAATGTCCAACGTGCAGGAGGTCTAACTAAAATAGCGAAATATTGACCTCACGCATGTGATTTGAAACAACTTATTTCTCTTCAATTTGCATTGAAAAACTGTATAAACTTGTATAAACTTCGCTGTATTTTGTATACACTTTACTTTAACTCCTTTACCAATACAGTCAAAAAGTTTAATCCTAAGTAAAATTCTTCGTTTGATAGCTGTAATTGCTTGCATGTTATGCATGATATTTCAGATATGTGGATGTGTTTGCACAGAAGAGCGAACTCATAATCGGAGATATGATTGCTGAATTTGACGGCAAACTCACCATAAAGTTGACACCTGTGCGAAGGTTTCCTCACGTGCGAAAAAAAACTCAACATACCTTTTTTCAGGTGGTCGACAACCCGAAAATCAATGCAATAGCAATTCTTACGGGAAAGTCTGACACTCTTCCTGCGCCTCCACCACCAGTCACCTATGAAGATCCAAGTAGAGTAAGTAGTTTGTATGTGAATCTTTTGTTCTACCTCATCGGTTGCTAAAAATTAAAAATTTTGCGTGCTTTTAGCGTCGTCGGACAAAACCTGTTGAAGAAGAATACGAGGAAATGGAGTACGTCGAGCCACAGCGCGCTTGGGAGGAACCAGTACGGGAGTTTGCCAGCGGTCCACGTTCTCGAGATCCATTTGAAGACAAGGTACACAGAACTCCTGCTCCTCTTACTACTTTAATTTGATCCACGATTTCCACTTTCAGAACGACAACGTTTTCGTGTATCTGGGTGTGACACTTGTTTGCTTATTACCGGTTGTCGCCTTTCTCATGCACATGTGATGGAAACAAAACACAACTACATATTTCCAGAAGTTGTGTTGTTTCATTTGTTATATGGGTATTTTCTCTTATGTACCGTTGTTTCTGTATACACAAGTAATTGTTTGGGAAGAGATGCGCTGTTTTCTCGCCATCTTCAAATTGTTGACGTCTGTTGCTTTACTGGGTTCTCGCCCAAGGTGATTGTTGATATCATAGGCTATGATGGGTAATAAATTATTTCTATAGATAAACCTCACAGCACTGCAAACCGTTGAGAATCTTGAAAACAGCGTTTTTCCCCCTTCTTCGAACAGATCCTTAACATGCAAAATGAAGAAAGATGTAAAAGTAACAATAATGCTGCAGATGATGGCATTCTATCGAACAGATCAAATACAATGCAGCTGCGATATCGAATAGGGCCAGTTGATGCCAGGCAAGCTACACATTGGGTACAATCCACTAGTAGGCTAAGAATCGTGTAGCTCACTTCCTTCAGCAATAAGGACTACATCTTTGACCTCATGTGGATCGCTTACAAACTTAGGCTGGGTCCATACTGATTCCCATGTTCCGGAACTGTTCCCGCACAGTTTCCGCACACTTCTCACACTTGCTGGAACAGTTTTAGAACTGTGCTGCATGCGCTGCAGCCGCCCCGCACCGTTTTAAACGGCGGAAGTTGGAGAATTTTGACCGCTCTCAACGGTTTTTCTTACAGATTTCTCTCATTTTGACCTTATTCCTCCATCCCGCTTCCCTTTTTGATCAGCAAAATTCGACTCGAAGAGGGGTTGAAGAATGAGCTTTCTCTGCCCCATGTATCCGGAAAGATGGGCTATCATGCGATTGTCCATTCTTCGTGATTTTTGCTCAAAACTACTTTATTTGTTCCAGGAAGCGGCTGCGTAGTTTCCATAGCCATCTGCCACAAACTAGTGAGCAGGAGCAATTCTGAAACTGCATGTGAGACTTGTCTCTTGTTTTTGATGATTTTGGGCGTTCTCAGCCCCTTTCGTTTTTCATGTCGTTGCTTCTCCGTTCTCTCTTCTACCCCGCTTCTCCTTGTGATGAGAAAAGCTGTGAACTTGAAGCGGGTTGAGGATTGAGCACTGTTCTGCTTCATGTATTTAGGAAGATGAACCTTCGTGCGCTCATCCATCTTCTCTGACTTTTGTTCAGGCCTACTTCATGTGTTCTGTAGACATGCCTATGTCAATTTCGATACAGATGCGAGACTGCGTAGCGTTTGCTAGAACATATGAAGTAGGTCTGAACAAAAATAGCGATGAGAAAATGAAACGAGCGCACGAATGCCCTTCTTCTCGGATACATGGAGCAGAACAGCTTTCAATCCTCAACCTCGCTTCGAGTTCGAAGTTCTGCTAATCAAAAAGGGAGCGGGGTGGAGGAAAAGGCCAAAATGAGAGAAATCTTAAAAAAACCGTTGAGAGCGGTCAAAATTCTCCAACTCCCGCCGTTCAAAACGGTGCGGGGCGGCTGCAGCGCATGCAGCACAGTTCCAGAACAAAGGAGTCAGTATGAACCCAGCCTCAGCTATCACAAAGTGAATAATTTAGACGTGCAATCTACGATACGACTTGATACTTTTTTGCTAGGTTTTCGAAATCTGGTGTGCTCCTACTTGGTTCAGCAAACGTAGAGTAACTGATCTCTTTGTAGCAAGGGCAGAGAATTACTGAAAGCGAATTTGAGAGATACATAGTCCTGATGCGATTTTGCGTAAAGGTGGTTCCTTCCTGTCTGAATTTTTTTTTGAAAATCAAAATCTCAAATCTCAGTTTGGCTGGGCTAGGGGAACGAAAGCCGCCAGTTTGGGCCGCCTCCGCGGACTGCTGGTCTTGGTAAGACATGCAACAACACTGCGAAAGGACCAATTGGCCGCGAAAGGCTGCTCAAACTGGCGGCTTTCGTTCCCCTACCCGTTTGGCTGGGGAAAGATTATTTCATACGAGTGGTCAAGGAAGATATTCCAAATATTTATATTTCGTGCAACAAATATGTGTATCATGGTATGTACAAAAAGGAGGCAAAATAATTCACAGTCAGTGGCACTATTCGCAAGTGAGGTATGAGTGTTGGATCTACCCGGGAAACAGCAACCACTGGAGAAAGGCATGGGTCATGAGCAATGACACTAATATACACAGACATATAGACATACTCCCTGTTAACTGAAAGCAGAGGGTAAATGCAGTAGTTTACGTACTCGTTCTCTGAAAGCACGTCATGTGAAAATAAACATCAAGACGTAACAAATATTCGAAGCAACAAGACCAAATAAAGTGAATGTGACAGTACAAAATACAATACAAGTGCCTTGTACAAAATATGAAACATGGAGTGAAGCGCCAGCGAGTATCTCACTTGAGAAAACCTACATAATGGTTTTGTTAGTGGATCCTGCCAAGAACATAGTCTTTCATGTGTGCAGGGATGGGGAGCCCAGAAACGACGTCCGGCCGAAATGGAGCAATTTTGGAGCGAAGGCTTAGGCGGCAGATCTGTTGCAAGCTCGGAGGGTTTCTGCAAGTGGTTAGAATACATTTGATTGATGTGAGAGTAGGGAAATTCAAGCATGTAAGCGCCTTCTAAATATCAACTATTCCGTCTTCCTCTTCCCCTCTTGACCACTCCTTGGAATCTTATTTCGTGTCTATCTCTCAATGTAGAAAGCAGGCTACTGGCTCGGTGAGAGAGAGGAAGTGAGAGAGGAATTAATTCCAGTTATAAGGCACTCTCTTCACTGCACAGCTTCTTACTATCGGACCATGCTCATTTCGATCTTTCAGCTAACCATCTAAGACTTACTTTGCTCGTGTTAGCATATCTCCTTTTAGTGCTCCAGGCAATGGAAGCCTGTCAATTGCAACAACGTCAAATTCTTCCCCAAGCTCTAGCAAGGACAAAAGGACCTGCAACTAAAGAAAGCCGGTTAATGCTATTCCATTTTATTCTCATGTTCTAAGAATTGCAAGGAGAAAAAACTAACCTGTGGCTGCTCCCTGGTTACTGCCAAGCGCAGAACATTCCTCAACTGACCCCTCATATCTTTGACTGGGCTGCGCATCACAACTTTACCACCATAAGAGAGGAGAAGATTGACGACGCGCGGATCAACCTTAAAATTCAAAATTTAATGTTTTAGATTCGAGATTATCCTATGTGCGTATATATGGCAATCCTTACCACATCTCTTGAACGGAAGTATTCTACGAAGGGACTCTTCAGCGAGGATCCATCTGGGAATTGATGTTGGATGTTTGGATCGGCGCCAGCCTCGAGAAGAAGGCGAAGTATGTCATATTGATTTTGCAAAACTAAAAACGACATTAATATCCATGCACGACGACCTTAGAGAGAATTCAAGAAAAAAACGTACCCGAACAAGCAGCCAAATGTAGAGCAGTTCCTATGTAGGTATGTACAGCATTTACATCAGCTCCAGCTTCAATGATAATCTAAAAGCGACTCCTTCATACTGAAAAAGCCGACTATCGGAATATCTTACTTTGAGAAGTTCTGGATCGTCTTTCAGTACAGCAATGTCGATCACGGATGGCTTGTCATAATTTTTGGGCATAGAAGCTTTGGCTCCCAGCTAAAATGCCAGATAATAGTGTAAGTTATCAAAAAAGGCTAGTTGACTCACGCTAATCAAGAACTTCACCAACTCAGCACTACCGCTAAGCAATGCATAGTGCAGTGGGGTACGGTAGTCCTGGCGTGCTTCAGCTTGCGCATTGACATTTCCACCATATTTGTGCAGAATTCTATAAAAGACGATTTTATCAACAATTATGGCTTCTTTCATACGTATGGTCAGTTGACAAGTCATACGCTGCTTTTTATAGATATCGATTACTTACATTACATAATCGATTTGTTGCATATTCTATAGTGGCGATTGTCGCAAGAAATAAACTAGCACGCTGATCAAGGATGCTACAGAAGATATTTGTAACAATTGATCAGATTTATGTCTATATCCGTTTACAGATTATAGACCTATCCTTCGACAATATGCTTTGCGCTTGCGAACAAGGGATTTGAAAGCACAAGTACTAAGAAATTGCGACTTTCCATGCTCCGACGAAAGTGACGGTATCGGACCATGGGTTAACTACAAAGAGTCTAGCAATCTTGGTATCAATTAAAGAAATTTAAGACGGCTCTTCATTCCAAAAATGCGCTAATGCGCCCAACATTTGTTTACTTTCTGGGTGCGAGATCTTCATTCACTGCATTTAGCAAATAGACTTTATCGGATCTAAGGTAAGAGGATCTAATCATATCAATAAACGTTTACTCACCTGATGGCCGGAATGCCGTTTTCTTTCAGCCGACAAGCTTTCATGATCGGTGTTAGACCTTTACGATCGTAAACGTTGGGATCAGCTCCAAACTCGAGCTAAACGGGAAGATTGGCAGCCTGCCATTTAGTAGTTTTGGGCGATTAACCTACCAGCAGCTCGATAAAATTTGTATCCAAAGGACTGACAACGGTAATCTCTGGGCCGTCAAAATAGATAGCATTTGGACTGGCACCATTCTCAAGGAGCAGTCTGGCGCATTCGTAATGCCCATTCTAAATAGGTAAAGAATGGCGGCACCTTAGAAGAAACAAAAGGCGCAAAACAGAAGAGGGGGGAATTGTAAGAGAAGTTAAACAATTAAAATTCAACCATTTTTTCTTATCAAAATAGACCAAGGAATCATTCAGGTGAGTGGACTTACTTCAATAGCCAAACGAAGAGGTTCATCGATATTTTCACGACTTGGATATTTGCCATTCTCGTCGATGACCGCTTTTTCATACTGTTGCACGACGTCAGTATACTGTAACTCAAATGTTGATTAACTATTGCCTTGAAGGAAAGAAGATAAAGGGAAAAGGAATGTAGGATAAAATACCTGCAACAATAGCTTGATCATTCTGTAATAACCGTGTTCGGCGCAAAGATGTAAAGCAGAACAGCCAACTTCGTCAACAGCGTCTACCTAGAAATACATTTGATCAATAACTTCAATCAGTAACTCAATACATTAAATGAATTATGTAAACATGCAAAACATTTTCCACATATATGATTCAAGCGAGTGAGTTTCCGCCTATGTTTTCATCCATTTGCCCTTATAAGTCATTTTCTACCACAAAGATCACTGAACTTCAATCGTTTTGCTGATAAAAAGCACAAATCATGTGGTAGATTGGGGGGAGGGGTAGCTGCGGGCGAGAAAAACACATCATAGCAGAAACTCTATGACGAAGCTTCCGCCAGAACTTGCCACAATATGTGTTTTGTGCACAACTGTGCCCAGTTTACGTTATCAGGGGCTGTTTGTAACAAATGCGCCCAAAATAGAATGTGGGAAGGGGGGGGGGTAGGATGGAAGTGGGGTAGGGGAGAGGGGGGGGGGGGAGGTCGAAAGGAAGGAGTAGTATGTATTTGATGAATAATTGATTATGCATGTATTTTTGTCACAATATTTTCAAATAGAGCATTTTGGTATTATGCTATAGATCCTTTTTACATATTCAAAAATTCGAAAATTCACAGATCAGAGGGGTTGGGGGGGGGGGGGGGAAGAGGGAAACATGCCCCTATTTAATGTCATTGAGAAAAATAAGAAAAAAATCAAGATTATTTTTATTGACGTGAGTTTGTCGGTAGCGAAATAGTAAAAAATCACTTATACCAATCCGCCCCTTCACTCCCCCCCCCCCCGTGATACGAAAATTCTGAAATCAATTTTTTCTATGTAAAATACAAGTTGGCTTCCACACTGATTTTTCCATTTTTATGTAAAAGAAGTCTGTCTATTTGCTATCTTGCGATTGATTGCCGGAAAGAACAATGAATGGTGAAAAAAATCTGAAAAAAAAATTCTGAGAAAAACTGAAAACGGTACCTTTGCGCCTCTGTTGAGCAGCAGTCTTGCAGCACTGACGTTATTGATAAAACATGCATAGTGTAACGGTTTAAGACCATGCGTGACCTCTCCATCCGGCTGTAAAATGTAAACATGTGTGAATCGCCAAGTAAACAAAAGACATTTTTTTCTTGGGGAATCAATGAGCAAAACTTCTGCAGTTGTGAGAGAGTAGAAGCTAATATTAAGTCAACCGATATTTTTTCTGCGAAAATTAAAAAACTGTTGATTCAAAAATTGACACGATTTACTTTGAAAATTTTTAAAAAATCCGCCAAAATGCAAAAAATCATGGTTATGTCAGTTAATTCGAATGTGTTTGTAACACTTTGCAGTCATTCATAGTATATTTGCCAGCGATCGCGCGGAAGTATAAAGTAGTGCCATACTGGGTCAACTTGAAAAGTGGGAAATTTCGCAAACTGCTTAAAACCATCATTTTATCATTGCACGTATACACTTTGCAGTCAATGTCGCAAGCGATCGCGCGCTGATTTTATAATGCGCGCAAGCGATCGCGCGCAGTATAAACACCAGCGCGCGATTGTTACGCATTTATTGTGAATGTGACATAAAACTCGAAATATCTGCAAACTGCCAAAAATTTATCATTATAACAGTCAGTTGTAATGTATACGCCTATACTTACTTCGCATTCAAGTGATGTCGCGCGCGAGATCGCTCGGTAGTATACTATCGCGCAGTTGGTAAGAGTTTATTACAATTGTGATCTGATCTCTCTAAAAGTTGATTCTGCGAAATGATAAAAATCATTGTATCGATTTTAGTTTACTTACACGCTTTGCATTCAAATAAAGTCGCCAACGACTGCACAATATATGAAACGCGTTCGAGTGGTGTCGCAGGCGGCCTCGCGGTAGTATAAACGCTACCTCGCGACTGTCAAGCAATCAACACCGCTCAAGAAATCAGATTTAGCCATACTTTACTACTACTTTTCCTAATATCGTTTTTAGATTTTCAAAAATTTTAAAACCCTACCTGAGCTCCACAGATGAGCAAAGTTCGAATTTCATCAAGTGATGCATAGTTGGTGATTTTGTCAGCCAGCTGTCGCTGAAAAACATTGAGATTAAATAACGACTTGAAGTTTTCGTTAATTTTTGGATTTAGAGTGCAGGCCTCTCTTGCTTCCCCGGTTCCTCACCCCCTCCCCCTTCAGTCACTCCAAAAAAAGGCCTCTAATCTCAAAGTCGCTAACGCTAGCATCTCCCTAGGAGTGTCACGCTGTTCGCTGAGTGCATTTCGTGCGTGCAGACGTTTTGAACCGTTCCAATCCCTCCCCCCCCCCCCTTCCCCGAATCTCGCGAGCTGACGCACGAACAGCTGATCGCTCGCTAGGCTATTGACAAGCGGCCAAGGTGGCGATGATGTCATCGCGGGTCGCGAGCCAGCACTCGCGACTGGCGTCACCCGTGTCGCCACCGTCGCCAGAGTCCAGCGCGCCGCTGTTGTGATTTTGAGATTGTTGACCACAACAAAGCTGTTGTGAATTCGGTCGGTTCGGAACGGCGAACGGAACCGAACTCGAGTGTGCCGGCACAGACTGTCTCATTCGAACGACGACAACCGATGGGGACGAACAGCACATCACGATGCGCTGCTGGCGATCAAAGAGCGAACAAATCTCAAAGTCAAAAGGATGTGATCATGACAACTATTGATCCTCAAAAGCTGTGATTTGTTACTGGTTGACAAGTTTATTATTAAAAGAAAAAAAATGATGTTCTCAAAGGGCAGGACAATCAGCTTTGACAGTTTTGTCAAAGGACATCCGACATAAAAAATTGTTTGTCATTGGGAAACCTCCTTGCAGGCTTAAGAATAACTTTCTACCAACCAAACTTCGCTAAAAATTTTTGCAAACCATTTTTTTCATTTAACTGAGGCAACCATTCGAATTGTTCAAGAATTTGTAGCTTTACCAATCTATAACTTGAAAGAATCCTACAGATTTCAGAAATTTAATTACTCATTCATTATCTATGACTAATCACTATCATATATGCATCCGTGCCCATTCATACATTTGACACATTCCGTCCGGAGCAAGCCTTACAAAATGACCACCAAAGAACCAGCTAAGTCGCGATCCAGGTAAAATTTGGATCCAAAAATCAAAATTTTTGAGCTACCCTAAAAATCGGATCTCCTTCCAGAAAATTCCTACGGACTTCCAACTTGGTCCTTATATAGCAGGCACATAGTAGTATCGAAATTCCTTTGGTTGAATTATGTTATAAGTCCTTCTATCTTGAAACCTGGGCATGCTACAGACAGTCTCAGTCTTTTTCTTTGCCTTTTTTTTCTTTTTCTTTTTTCTTTTTCTTTTTAAAGGTACTACCATAACAAACCTGTACGGCAAAGAAAAAGACTGAGACTGTCCTTTGGTTGATTTTTTTTTTTCGGAGCTCAAAATTGGGAAACTAAGATGGTCCCAAAAGTCACTTTTTTCGGGTTTTTCATGTAAAACTTGGTATATCTCGCGATTATAAGAGCACCTACAGGAATAGAGTTTCAAGATTATACTTAGCAAGGCTTGTAGTATACGATGACATATGTGGGAGAAGCTGGGGCGGAGTTTGCCATTTTCAGACTATCTTTTTTTTCTCGCTTTCTAAGCTCGAAAAAAATCCAGTTAAGGCATTTTTGAGTACTATACTACTATTTGAGTTCCGTACGATTATTCTTCGCAAAAATCCAATTTCCAGGTAATAAATTTTTTTCGATTTTTGGATCCAAATTTTACCTGGATGGCGACTTAGACGGTTTTTTTGCTGGTCATTTTGTAGGGCCTGCTTCGCTCTATCGAATGATACCCCAAATGTGCCAGGAAAACAAAAACATTTTCACTTATAAAAAAAAACGGTATACTTTTGGGACAACCTAATACTTCGTCAGGTTCGCAGCTATTTATTCTATTAAAAATATTAGATACTTTTCAACATCCGCAAGGTTAGAACTTTTGGTTTCCAGTCTTCACTCCTAAAATATTCCCAAATTGTACTGCTACAAGATTTCGTGGGTTGTAAAAGGTACTGCTGCTCTCTCTGGTTTTTCTTATCCTCCGGTGCTACTGTTGGATTACGGTAATGAGATGCATAGAAAAACCAATGTAAGTAGCTGACCACAAAACTGTCAAACTCAACTAATCAAAAAAAAGCAATAAAACAAGGTTTATGTTTGGGAATTCCACATTTTTCCAGAAATAAATCGAGCTGTAATTTATCGTCTTTACATAACAGGTACTATTTACATAAACAACACATATCTCTATTAAATGCCTATGAAAGCTTTCAGCTAGGCATAAAGAAGACAGACTTATACAGGTCACAATTTTATCACTTAGAAAAAATATTTTGAAAAGGTTATATACTTTTTCCATGGTCCACTAATGAGTTCAGTTTTGGTTTTTAGAAAAGCAGCCGTTCTCCGTTTTGCAAACGTTGCAACTCAAGATGCTATCAGCTGTACGAAGACATGCACGAAGTAACAAAGTACGAACACATTTCTTGACAAAAAGTTTCTTCTAAGCACAGGCATTTTCATCACATATGATTTATTGATTTTATACCCTCAAAATCAGCGCCAAAATTTTCTTGCAGCTAAGATAAGTTCTGAAGTGCTGCTCAAAGAGCACCGCTGACCTCCTCAGCTGACCCGATGACCATTTTTAGCCCGCTTGAGTCAATTCGAAGCTGTCGGAACGAGAGAGAAATGGTCTTTGTTCGACTATTGGGAGGTGAACAGACAACACGGCCGAGAAAACAAATGTTGGATTTTGAAACGCTGTCGAGAGGTGATTTAGGTCGCGGACAATGAGTTACAGCAAAAATAAGGGAAATAACATTGGACAGGTGAGTGTTGAGTAAGGTATACGGTATGGGGAAAAAGGGGCGGGGCTGGTTTGTGCAGAAATTGTAAACTCATAAATATAAATGAAGTTTTGAGTAGAACGGTGACGCAAACAAAGGTTTTAGAAAAATTACACAAAATAGAACTTTTGGATAATTGAAGGGTGAGGTATACGGTATGGGCAAGAAGGGGCGGGCTTAAATTCGTTCGGACATCAAAAATTATGAATTTAAGCGACATTTTGAATAGTACGCTACCCAGGTAAATTGGAGATTCTAGAAAAATGAGGGCAAAGTTTGGTTTCATGTCCAACTTGAGAGCTTCTAATTCACATAACATGCCCATACAGTATGAAGTGCCAAAGTACTTTAGGGGTACGGTAAGGATATAGTGCCCACCTGTAATTGCCGTTGTTGTTCCCTGGAGAAATGAAAACCATCTCGAGAGATCATCATCATAGAGGAGCGAACTGCGAAGACTGTTCGAGGGGGCTACCTGAGAGTCGGGGCCACGCCCTGTCCCCCCGTGCCCCCCTCAGCCGCGCCCGTGATCATGTGAGCAGCCGGCCAAGTGCTGCTAAGATGTGATGAACAGCAAATCAGCGTGCTGACCTCTGGCGTTTTGAACTTTCTACCCCCCTCCCTCGCCCGTCACCGTTCCCTCAGCTGACTCGACTAATACACCACCAAACGTGCAATTATTCGTGCAAATGGTGATTAAATTGATAGCCTCGGCCAAAATATACATTGCGCAATCTTTGGAATTAGCCACGGTTTTTATGGGCAATAATAAAGCCTGCCGACACATTTGGCACACACCTGGATTACTGCGACTAAAGTGACGATGCCTGGGACCGATGTAGAGATGAGTCATCGAAGTTTAAGCTGTGAAACATCTATTGTAAATAAGTTCTGACGCAATATCTGCAAAGTTTCCTCATTTCTCACGTCAACTGCAGTGATTTCGTCACTTTTACTGCTTCTCTCTCTCTCCCCTCCTACTGGGCCCAACATACGATAAAAAGCAGCTCAAAAAATTTCGGAAATAAGTAGATGATTGAAATAGCAGATATTAAAACTGTACGCAGACGACCGCGCTTTCGGCCTTTTACAGTATGACTACCGTAACCTGGTATGCCAAAACAGTTCAGTAAAGCAACATTAGCAAACCAACAGTTATGAAACTGGAAGCGTTTTGAAGAGTAATTCTAGTGAGAGACAGTTCTGATCAAACTTTACATTTCCTGTAGTGAGCTTACCGTAACCCCACAGTAGAATATAAAGGATATTCGCCGACGACTGCCCCGATTCGTGCAATTACACCACCGTGGGCGCGCCTTTTTGAAGCCTTTCCAGCTGGACAGTAAGTGCAGCGCGCTGGGACTCGATAGCTCGCAGCAACACTGTCCTTTAAGCTCTTTTTCTTAATTTGAGCATTTCATAACGTTTTTCTTCTTAGTATTTATAATTTAGCCAGTAATTCGTTTTCCCTATCTCTTAGTTTCTCTCGATGACTAAATATCCTACGCTCTACTTCAATGAATACTGAAAGATAGGGAAAAATTAACCTTAGGCACATTTTATGAATTCTTGTCCCGTTTTACGTACGAAACATTCAATTTCAAAATCGTGAATCGTCGCCCGGGCAAAGTTAGGTGGAAAGATGTGCTTTGTTCATAAGCAGTAGTGGCTATCATGCATTTTCTTAGATGAGACCACCGAATGTTTATTTCTCACATGGTGTCCCTGATATAAGAATGCTGGAGTAATCATTTCAGTGGTCTTTCCTAAGAAACATGTCAAATCATTATATAACACCGAGGAAAACATGCAATTCTAATCATACCATTATAGCCACCACTGCAACTTCTAAAAAAAGCTCATTTCATTCTTCTAAGTTTGCCCGCGGCGATGGTCTCACACTGCCATAGATGGATAACTGCCTGAAATGAAAAATTAGAAGAAAAAAACGATATGAAATGCTTAGTAAACGAAAGAGGTTAAAGGACGGGGATGCTGCAAGCTCTCAAGTCCCCGCTCGCTACAGCGTACTGTGAAGCTGGAAAAGCTCCAAAAAGGCGCGCCCACGATGGTGTAATTGCACGAGTCGGGGCAGTCGTCAACGAATATCCTTTACATGTACATACTGGTTTGAAGTCATACTACGACGAATATAAAGCACTTGAAAGCTGTTTTGCAATGTCATGTGAGGATTACGACCTACAATTGGCTAGTAAATTTTGAGAGTTCAATAAACTTCCCATCCAGATGGTGCGTCCTGGGACAAAGTCGTTTTGATGGTATATATCGTTAGCCGAAAGAACTTTATAGGTCGATAATTCTATAATTTCAGAAAAGTATGAGAGAAGGTTAGATCTGGACTTTTTATTATTTTAGCCACACAATCTACGGCTTCACTGATTTTGACGTGGAAATCGCATCTAAGTCTAGAAATAACCGGATATGTAAATACGTGGTTCAGCAAATTAGTTCTCTACCTTAGAAAAAAAAACTTTTCAACAATTACTGCACATTTCTTTCTATTGGGAACCAAAACACTATCACTCATTCTTTTGAGAAATTGTACTCAGTCTCTGCCAAACGCAAGAAAAAACTCCTAAGATAAATAGCTGCATTTTGGATGAATTGAAGCGCAGACTGCAACATGCAACTTTTCACACAATGTGATTTTCCTTGCGTTTGCAGATTTTCTTTTGCAAGAAAAACGTTTTGCAAAGCTCTCAGCAAACTTTATCCTCACACGGAGAAAACAGCACAAGTAGTGTAAATTTCTTTTCTGGTAGATTGTTTAACTTTTGTTGTGAGATTCCAGCATTACTTTACTTTAGTACCCATTGATTCAACTGGATTGACGGCTGGAAGGCGGGGTTTCGTGACCTAATTAAGGCTAGTTCATGATCAGAGAGCACGCGCGCGAGAGAGACGCAGACTGCATCGCGGACTCGAGCGATCATAATTAGGTCACAAAGCCCCGCCAATCCAGTTGAATCAAAGGTCATTTTCACTTGTTTTTTGGTTTTTGAATTTTACTTTCGCTGTCATTTTTCCGTTCTAAATTTCATAAAACCGACTTCTCGTAAGATATTCGAGATTCTGAAAACTACTAGATATTGATTCCTATTTCAGTTCATATTTGCACTATTTCAACTCATTCTATTCAATTATTTGAATCCCCCACCCTGACTTCATTGAGATAGATCTGGAACATTTTTACATTCTATATTTTATATTTTCTACATCTTATCACAAAATTCTGCTTTGACCTTGTTTCTATTTTTTTCTGCGGTCTCGCAAAATATTCTATTAAGCAACACCATACTTTTTCCATTCACAATTCATTACTTGAATTGTTTGTTCTGTTCAATCTGAATGAGATTTGTCTCAACAACTTGTTTTGTTTCGTTTTTGACAATTTTACTTCCTTTGCCCTTCTTGTTTTTGTCTTTAACTGCTGATTGTATTTACTTTTCTTTTTTGTCTACTGTCAACAACAAATAAAGCTCCTACTTGAGGGAATTCACAAGTCAAAATTGGTATATCAAATAAAACATAATAATTTGGACACTCTAGACCCAAAAAAGCGGGATTAAGACCAAAAAAACATTTTTTCAGCTGGTTGTGCCCGGGACGGAATCAACTGTGCCAACCATTTTTTGACCTTTGTTTTTTTTTCTAGTCTTCCTTGTCTTTTCTTTTCTTCACTCCAATCTCGGTCGCAGTTTTTCGTGAATATAAAGGAGTCTTCGTTTTTGAGGTTTCAAGTGTCACCTGGTGCCCAGCCCTGCATAGTGATAATTTGGAGCATGTTTATTGAAGGTGAAATTACAGAAGGGTTTTTTGCTTTGACAAAAAAGTTTTGTTTGGCGCAGCAGTTCTAGGCACATCCATTGTGGGCTGAGAACAGACACTTCATTGTTATTTGGAGCAATAAATGGACTCAAATGAGCATAAGAATATGGCTGATGGGGAAAAAGGAGGTAACAATGGAAAAGTGGTGGCGAAAACAAGCACGACTCTGGATGAAAGCTAGACTCCAGTAAGTCAAATTTCTTGTGAAGTTTACTTGGTATTATCAATATGAGCTTTAACAGGTACCCAGTGAGACCTTTTTTATGTGGCTATCGACATATGATCTACTTCAAAAACAAGCTTTTTTCCAATGTTTCATTATAATGCGGAGAAGAAATTTGTCAGTTTTAGAGAGAGGGGGAGGAACATTAAAAAACATAAGGCGATTCAAATAAACTAGAGGTTGCGCGGTATTTGTTATTTATTTATTTATTCAATACGCACAAGGCGTGCCACTTTGGAACAATGATAACGAAAACACTTAAAACATGAACTGCCACGAATTAATAGCTCAACCCCCCCCCCCCAGATAGTGTTGAAAATAAAAAGGGATTAAGCTTGTTTAGAGGCCGTATACAAATATATAATAATACAGCAATATAGTATAATACAGCACCGCTCATAATTCTTCAAAAATTCACCAACTTCGTCGGAATTCGCCGAGATCCCCGTCGCATCGCCATATCTACTCCGTAAAGGTCATCGACTTTTTTTGCGGGATTTTGAGTACATATGTGATTATGTGGTAGTTCCACTGCGATGGTCATGAATAATTCAAACACTTATCCCTTCCCCCTTTCCCCTATCAATTTTCCCAATTATTCGACTTGTTTACTCATCCTGAATTGGATGGGTGACGTCAAATCATAGATAAATTCAAACAATGTATGGATAACAACTCCAGCTAAATTTTGAGATTAGAGGTTTTGGAATCAATATAGGTCCGTAGATTGCACAGTCCCTATAGTGCCCTTGCGGTAGTAGCAGCACTTGCGCGTAAGCAAATTGCAGCACGTTTATGATAGCATGGCCACCCCGTATGCGGCTATCTGCTCAGGCTCAAATATTGCCGACATCGCAGGGACCCACCTAAACCATCAAATCACTAGAATATAGGCATATAGATACAAGTAGGGGATCCAAGCTTCAACACTTCATAGGTCATTTTTTTCAGAACTATTTTTGTACTGAAACTTCGGATAAAAAGAAATCTTCAGAAAATGTTCGAATTCGTGAGTCCTATGCTTACTCCATTTTTAGCATATTGCTCAGCCGAAAAACCAAAATCTGTTGTCTAAAAGTGCTATCCATCCATTAGACAAGTATACCAGGTGATCGGCTGCTGATCAAGTGCTAGTTTACTAACAGCTGAGCTGGAAGAACAGCTGTAGACAAAACCTAGAACATAGGCACTAAAAGCATCTAAAAACATTTTTTCAACTGGATAAAGAAAGTTTATCTAATCTGTGGTTCATATCCTGAGTTCCCACATGCTAAGATAACTTTAGATTAGCTTGTACAAGCTGCACTCTAAAATTTTGGGACGAATGAAATATCACCCGCTGTTCTTTAACAAATCATACATCGCAAGTTCTCCTCCTCAAAATTTTTTAGCAGATCTGGTCCAAAATTAGAGCAAGTTATCTTGTCAATAGTATGATGAATTGGCAGAAGGATGTCTGGAAGCGCTGCCCGCAACATGTGCTTGTAATCCGGCTAATCTGCAAAATTCG